ACTTTACTACAAAATGTAGTACAAAAAAATATTTTACAAACCTCGATTAATATTAAGATGCGCTGGGACTCAAAACAAAAAAATTCATATAAGTTCTTAGTTGCACATGATAAAGGCGAGCAACAAATTGTCAAATAATGCGAAAACATTTTGTATATAAACATTTAGAACCCGCATACAATCATGTTTCACGGAACACTATTTAAAGTTCTGCACAAGAATCTATACACCTCTATATTTCATATTATACTTGCTTAATTTTGGTCTCCAAGATCATTCAAGTATCATAAAAACTTGAAAATGATAAACTAATGATAATAATATTTTCATGTTAGATTAAAAACACTTAATCATATTAATGTTTACATCAGTAATCGCAAACTGAAGATTCTAATTGATTATTTCTGTACTTGTGTCGTTTCAATTGTTTATTGTTCTACTTTTTTTGTACAATTATTTACGATATATCAAAAATGTTGTCATAGTAATAAATTTAAAAGTAGCGTACAACCACAGAAGTAAAAATTACCTACGATTTTGTTTCAAAGTTAGGAATTTTAGGGCTTATAAATAACATATAACAACATTCGTTGTATTTTTACCACAACTTCCAAAATTTGCACCACTCATATTAAAAAATGAAGAATAGATTTACTTTATAAAATATAAAATAACTTTTATAATGGAAAGGTTTCAGTAAACTTTGAAATGTACACACTTGTTACTGGCAGTTGACAGCCATACAAAAAATACTGCGCTTAGTTTAAAAATCATGCAAGGGCTCAAAATGAGCTAATGTTTTCCGAAACTGTCCTTATAATAACAATGTACACACTTGTTACTGGCAGTTGACAGCCATACAAAAAATACTGCGCTTAGTTTAAAAATCATGCAAGGGTGAGAAATGAGCTAATGTTTTCCGAAACTGTCCTTATAATAACAAAGTGTGTATTTTGTAAAGGAATATCCGGAAAATAACCAAATATCTATTTATAGAGTGATAAAAATAGTAAATATAACTTTGTTTCATTGACAAAGTAATTATTTGTATTGGAATTTTATGATAATATTAGTGGTAACTTTTGAATACTGTATGATTACTAAGTTACTTTTTCATTGATGTCATAAAACCTAAATTTATAATGATTCTTATGACTGGGTTCTCATGCTAACAGTACAAGATGACTATAAACAAAACTTCATATCTAAAAGGAATATTTTAAAAATGACTTGTCCAAAGGGAACACAATGTTACCAGAGGCACACTGAATCTCATTTATTTTATCCAGGAAAGATTCAGAATGGTGGAGTGGGTTTAAAAACCTTATTACAATCTATAAATAAATCGCTTTTCTCACTTTTATTTATCTTCTTTTCCTATCTTTCAGTAATACGAAGTTGGTAATTTGAACAGGTTGTGTGTCAGAATCGAGAATACTTTCTGAGAGCAGAATTTCGCGATTGAAGCTAACGGAAAGCGTATTAAGCGTCTTCTGTAACAGTTTTTGAAACACCCTGTACTACTTACAATCATTATTGTATAAAACTTGTGATTCTCAATGTGCGTCATGTGAAATTTACATCCTCTAACAAAAGTGTGTTTTTTTTAAATCTATATATATACAGTCAATGTAAATACGGGGGTTTCTTAATAATCACACTGTAGTTGATCTGAATTACTGTTTGTTTTATTTTTCAGGTGGATATATTACAATCCAGTCTTTGTATTCTTGGTAAAGGGTTTTTTTCCCCAAAATTTAGTTAACGAGGTATAAAAAATGAGATATGACTGGCATGGCGGTAACTCTGAAATTAAAGGAACGCTTGACAGAGAGGGGACTCAATAGCGCCGCTGAACGTCATTTGCCTCCAAGCATCACTCAGTAACTGATAGCTTGTGAGAACGCCAGCCAATCGTCACGTACTTAGTGTTCGTCATCTAACTCCATTGGTGGGCCGAAAAATCTATCATACTGCAGTGCTGCACCAAGCCACGTGTTAGCTCAGGCGTGTCGATGATCTGTTGCAGAAATGTAGCCACGGGTATAGGTAACGATTAATAAAATGGCGTTGAAGGCTACCGGATGTAACAATGGCCGCCTTGTTGTCTCAGCACTACAGGAGGGCAGTCCCACGAAAAATCAATTTTCATCCGTAAGATATCTTACCATTGTTTAAAACAGTAACACTATAGTGGTATTTGTCAAGGGGCCAGTAGCTGAGTATCAGGTTGTGCATTCTCGCAACAACAAACCGAGAAACATCAAAGGAAAAAAAAACAAACAGCTCATCCTAAACTACACTCTGTGACCCTGTAATTTGCATTAATATAAATGAAGACAGTAAACAGATACATGTATAATGAAAAGTAAAAAAAAAAAAATAAGAGGGTCATATGACGTTTCAACTCCTCACTTTGCCTCAGGCAGACATGAATATATTCAAACCCAATTACAGTATGCAATCAGTGTAAAGTCAAGATAATTACGATGTTCCCTTAAGTGTATTATAATGAATGTGCTCTGTATAAGATATTCTGAGGTTCGTATCGGCACTTATATGCACCAGTGGTTGTCGTTCATTAAAAGAAGATTTAAAATAGTTGTGGGTTGTTTAGTATAGTTAGATGTAGCTGATGTTACCTTTAACATTTTTTTCTCATTTCCTTGTGCTTTGGGTCTGTAAAAGTAGTTTTAAACTGTGACCACTTAAGTGTTTCATTCGTTGCATGATTTAATATATATCTTAGGTAATTTCATGTACTTTGTTTAGGTTTAAAAGTAGTTTTTTTATAACAAACATACTTCTAACAAATACTTCAGCAAAACATGTTAATTAAATTTTCAATAACTTATATGAACATATCTTGATTTTATATTACCAACCTACGTTCTAGAATAAAGGATAGAATAAAGATTATCGTAGGTTAAGTTACGGTGTGTTATGCCTTCCCTCTCGCCATCACCCAATAAATATTATTTGTAACCAGATATTTTATTTTGTACCAACTCAGTAATATCCTGTGACCAAATTGCTCACGTTGAAGAAGAAAGACAGAAATCATGAAAAAAACAAAAACGAATAAATCATTAGCCTTATCAAAAATAACAGCCTTATTAATAAGACATAATGATATATTGTTTACTTCATATGAACATAAATTCAAATGAAAAACCCTATGCAACATTGCTTTTGGTATGGATATCTGAACATTTGTAATAATTGTAGAATTTTGCTTTATTGTTTTTAGCCGCGGCATAGAATGGCTCTGAGTTTTTTGGTGTTTTTCAAGTACAAACGTTTAACTAATAACTACGCATCTCAAGATCGATTTGAGATGTAATTACAGTTTTGGACTCAGGAAGTCAAATCTTTTCGATTAATGTATTTGACCACACCCAAGTTCTCATAGATTAGTATACTCTAATCCTGCCTAAAAGAATTTCAATTTGAGGGTAGGCTCGTAGAGTTTGTTTGTTTGTAATTAAGCACAAAGCAACACAATGGGGTATCTATGCTCTGCCCACTACGGGTATCGAAGACTGGTTTCTAGTGTTGTAAGTCCGCAGACATGTCGTTGTGACACTGGGAGTCGGCTGGTAGAGATCATGATGAGTAATAAAGTCGAATTGGGTATACGCGCGCGCCACGCTTGGTACTGCTGACGCACAAACATATAGCTAACAACAACAAAAAAAGGTCTCATAGATTAATTTACTCTACTCCTACCTAAAAGAATTTCAAGTGCCGTGAACTATATATTAATTTCACTGTTCTATAACTAGCATAGAATACATCTTTATTCAGGTATATTTACGTAAATTTTCCGTATGGCTCTGCAGGGTAATCACATCTGTGTTGATTGAATTTTACAAGGTCATAAACACGTGCTGTTCCTTTTACGTGGGTAAAAGTTACATACTGTTCTTAAGCCGCTAAATAGTATATACTCGCTTCTGTATGGACTTCTAGTTAGGTAGTCTATTCAACAGGTAATATAAAAACATATGCAAACTGGCTTGAGATGGCTCTTAGGAGCGTATTTAAACTATTGGTTGTATGCTCAACTATATATTTGTTATATCTTTCCACGGTTCATGTGTCACTAGAAAGAGATATACTTTTCTGGGCGTTTTTAAAGTAGTTTTGGCTTGCTTCATACCTAGATTTCCAACAGAAACACTCTCTTGTCATATAGACAGCATGCCTCGAAAATTATGTGAGCAAATATTTATGAATTAAGCTTAGGTGTGTTGTGGCTTTTCTGGATATACAGAACAGAACTTGAGACTAGGATAAATAACGTTATGCCCCATTTGCTTGAAACAGTTATTGACAAAATGTTATGTCACTTACAAATCAGAGGTCAACATAAAGTTACTGTTACAGCAGTTCGTCTGAATAGTGAACAGAGCATGGTTCAAGCTATAGCTTAGAACTACTACCTGATATACAACCTGGATTACATGTTGCTCCTGTAAATCTGTGTTAAGCCTCATTACTTTTGTGCTAATTGTACATTTACTGTACTAGTGTGGTGAAAGGACATTTGGATTTTTTCATTTCTAGAATGTAATATAACTGTATCAACATTAAGCTGTGATTAGTGAACAGCTATGCACTGTTACGTTAGTTCATCTTTATATTGAAGCCTGCGCTTCAAAGCTATCTTAAACATCAATTATTAATGTTGTCTCTACCTTCCCCTTGCTAAAGCAGGAAAACTAAAGTTTGTTATGAATGTACCATCTTCTAAACAGGATTGGCTTGACACAGCTACTTTCTCTTTATTTATCATTTTTATATAACAAGTATGAAAAACAGAAGAAAAGTTTAAATGCCCATAGAGTTTAAGGCCTCTCAGGAGCTCCGGTGTCAATTACACCTCTTCCAAGTATGAATGGACGGATTATTATGGCTATGAAATCAGATCTATCATTTCCAACATTATAATTATAGTATTTTAAAGTAAAGAAAATATCTCTTTCGTACCTATTTAGGAGAAAGGAACTGCTGGAAATAAAACTGATGATGTCTTGGGAGAAACACTGCTACTACTACCAACAGCAGCAGCAGAAATAAATGAGAAGACAGACTCCTTGACTAACTCAGGAACCTCTTCTACCTCACGCTTAACACATAAGTATATGGTCGAATACATCTTCCTTTTATCTGTACCCAACAGCCATCTGCTTCAAACAACTATGTCATTAAAGCTACAAAAATTTCACAGTCTCACAAGGTGTTTCAAACTAAAGAGAGTTTGACATGAGAAATCACCAGAACCAATTTGGCAGATCCAATGAAGACTATTGCCAAAGTAACCACTGGGGGCTACAAAGAAGTGACAGTGGAGATATCATACTCCACTAACACTCTTATCTGTTCCATCACTAACACATACGACCTGCAGTAAAGTTGACATTAAAGAAAGCACATGCAACCATTGACTACCCCTTCTGCACGACTGGATGTAGCTTCGTTATTACACTGATATGTATATATCTGCGATTTCAATGGTTTGTTTTAAATTGCAGGTTAAATCATTTTCATATTGTTAATTAGATTTAAAGGTTCCAGTTTGCTTATGTCCATTATATGCTGAAGAGATATCTTGAAGATGAAGTTCATTTACATTGAAGTAACGAGTTTGTAAAATGTAAGTTAATTGGTTTTATTTTTGAATGATGGATTTAAAATGTTATGGTTATTTCTATTTTTTAATTTCACTATGAAGAATTATTTTACATGAATATGTTTTTAAAATGAACGAGTATTGTTATGTTTTTGGAACATTAATGAATTTTGGTTTTTATTATCTTGATAAGTCAGAGTTTTTAACTGATCTAAAGCTCTAATGTAATCCCAAAAGTTAGCAAATTGTAACGTAAAGCATTCTATTCTGACGCTATTAAAAAAAGAGAAGTGTGAATAACCGTTTTATTTGGCTACCTTGTATTGAATGTCTTATTTTCTAAGCAAAATTTACATGAGACACCCATTTTCTGTTTTATTTTTATTTAGCAAGAATGAGAACCATAAGAAAGGTTGAAGTGCACATAGAACTCAATGAAACATTTGAAAAACTAATTGTTTTCGCTTATAAACTGTACAACAGTTGGATATTAGATTGAAAATGGAAACAAAATAGAGGCCAATTTTGCAATGATACGTTTTCATCGTCTAACTTTGTTTCACTACTATGAGTTTCAACTTCTACATAGTATTCACATCATCTACATAGTAACTGTCAGTTGTTCTTTCTTCCAAACTGTGCACTGTTTCACCTTGCCTTTTGTTTTTGGCCTGGCATGGCCAAATGGTTAGGATGCTCGACTCGCGACCTGTGGGTCGCGGGTTGGACTCCCCGTCCTACCAAACATGCTCGCCCTTTCCTTTCAGCCGTGGGGGCGTTATAATGTGACGGCCACTTCCACTATTCGTTGGTAAAAGGGTAGCCCAAGAGTTGGTGGTGGGTGAGATGCCTTCCCTCTAGTCTTTCACTGCTAAAGTAGGGAGTTAGCGCAGATAGCCTTCGTGTAGCTTTACGCGAAATTCAAACCAAACCAAACCTTCTGTTTCTACCCTTCTGTAAATAAAAGTACTTTAATGGTAATATACAATCTTGCCATGCATTTTATATAACAAATTTACCTGACACTTTGTATGTGCATCAAAAAATATTCTGCAGCTTCTATTGCACTCTCCTGTTGGGCAGGCATGCTATTGGTGTCCTCATGAAACCCATGTTGTGGTATTCGGCTCATGGTCAGTTATTTTTCATGTATAAGGCTTTTTAAATATAGCGGAGTTATATTCAAAGTTATATTTTGTTCATGGAGGTGGGTGTACAAGATTGTGTATATTTTTCAGCCTGTTGAATAAAACTCGACAAGTAACAAATCAATCGAAAAACGATAACCTCCGCTGAAAGTTCATTCATAACTTCTTTAGATTAGTCCTAAAATAAGAGTAAAATTTTAATGGAAATGAAACTTCGTGAATAAACTGTGTGTTTTGTATTTCAAACGTAGTTAATTTTAAATAATACGCGATTAGCCTGCAAATATAAATATCAGAAATGATTTTAAAAAAGTATATAATCAGAAAACAAGAAGTTGGATCGCCCTTTATTTAAAATTTTCATCATAACTTGTTCTTTATGTGCTATATTTGGTTGCAAATCAGTACAAAATTAGCTTAAGGATTTACTACACGTAAAACATGAAAATCATTTGAAAGGCTGATTGTTTTCGCTTATCAATTTTATAACAGTTGAGCATTAAATCGAAGATATAAACAAAATACAGGCCAATCAAGAAACATTGTTGAACTTAATATCATTATAAGTGATCTTTAATCTGGAATATTCCAACCTGTGTATATTCCAGTTTTCATTCTGCACGTGTAATATTAAAGGTAACATCACGAAGTAATGGCTTGAGACATCAGAATTATATGTGTACAGACCTTTTCCTTCTCTTTTTCACAAGAGACCATTATATTAATGATAACGTAATAAATCAGGGTACCTATTTAGAGAATATAGCCTTGAAAACTGGCTTTCAGGTCAACCGCATAAAAAGTTCTAAATAACATAACGATCAATAATATTATGTGGTCAGTTACATTGTTAGAGATCCTAAAAAAAGCTTTTACAGTCGATTTGTATTCATTATAATGGCATTGATAATAAATATTTTGTCCTGTTTATAGAATAATAGAGAACAATTATAGAATACATTTGAAATGAATGGCGAAATTAGTTTGAATTATAGGTTGGGTAGAAATAACGCATTAATCTATTTACTGTTGTTTTAAAGTTAACGATAAGATGAACAAAGCACAAGCAATACATATGGAGCCATCTCTAGATAAAAGATTTCGCCATGGAAACATAGATGTTGTTTATACATGCCTTATTGGTTGGACAAATAATTTATTGAATCCGAGCACCATAGGAAGTGAAACAATTATAAATTGCATTCACATGTCAAATAATGATGGTTATAGTTGAATGACTACATTATGTGTAATGTAGGAAGAGTTTTGTAGAATAATACCAGACAGGAAAACATTTTTATAAACAGAAAATCGTCGATACAAGTAAATGGAGTTAAAAACATTTCAGTAAGATACATATGTAATCTGTAATGGCTTTTGAAATAAAACACGTAGAAGAAAACGTTTCAAGAACAAGAAACACTAAAATCGATCATTCAAAATTACTAATGACGAGCCCCAGTGGTACAGCGGTAAGTCTGCGGACTTACAACTCTAGAAACCGGGTTTCGATACCCATTGTGTAGCTTTGTGCTTAATTCCAAACAAACAGACAAACAAACTAATGACGAATAGTTGGAAAGCGCTGAAAATTAAATGTCATAAAAATCGTCTTCTGTGTATATTTCCAATGAATTGAAAAGTGTGTATTTGTGTTAAACTGCCGTTTCGGGTATTCTAGTGAGACGATGAAGTATAGAGAAATGGGAACGTATTGGGCTTAATTATGAAACCATTTATATCACTTTTGATACCTTTATAGTGTCAAGCTTGTGTTAACTTTGGATAACTCAGAAATAACGTCACACGACACGCACTTCTATTGCAAGTGCTAATTATACATAAAAGTGATTGTTATCATTTAATATTGCTCTGTAATTTAACACTCTTTGCTAAATGTAAGAGCTAAAGAGTAAAAAGTATATATATTTATTTTTCAAGAGTATCGTCCATTACGGAAGAAAAATAGTGAACCAATTAAATATTTATATTTGCTCATACATAAATGTATCAGTATTTAAAAGTGTGCAAGTTCTCAAAGTTTTATTACTTTATTTTTATATTATGGTAACTTTTTTACCTCTACCCCATTTATCATAAATCTAAAAATAAAGTACCAAGAGTTAACAACTACGACATGGGTCTTGCATACTAAACAATTGACTGTAACTTCTCGGGAAGGAACATTTTCAAGAAACTTGCAAAATAAGTCACTTTTGGAAGATGGCTCTTAAGACACTTTCAACAGAATCCAGGAATCCTTGGTTTTGCATCGTCTACCCTCCCGATTCGGTTTTAATTATCAGGTGTAAATAATTCCTCTAAGCTTTAGGAATTCATCAATGCGAATTTTTGGTCTAACCAATTATTTCAGAAGCCTATCAGTGCACGTCATGTGTTATACGACATATGAGTTAAGCGATCACGTGAAGTTCTGAATTAATATAAAGTAAAAATTCTGAAGCCACGTGTTTGATGAAACATGTCGAACGTGAATATTTTTCGTATCCAGATTGTTGTAATACAACTTTATAATCAGTAGAAAATCAAATACGAAATGAGCTTGAGCACCACAAATAACATAAGACTAATTCCTGTCTTTCTGGAAGATTCTAAGATTTTCAAACTAAAACTACGCCCATATCTGTATACTTCCGTAAATTTACTAGCATGTGTTTCAGTGTGAGAAGTACTGAAATCTAAAATAGTCTTTTACACAATATGACTGTAATTATTTAAACCTAGAGCAATACAGTTGGATTTTGAAACGGAATTTGACGAAAAACCTACCGGAAACATCTTGACTCATTTTATGAATTTTAAATAGAAATCGATAATTTCGTTTAATTCAAAGGAAATTTATGAGAAAACTAACGATACTACTTTCATTAGGTGTATCCGTTACTTTAATATTTGAGGAAATTTAAGGAAGTTTAAAACCATTAGACAGCACAATATGAAATCTAATTATCCAAAATGAAGTAGCGGTATTCGGCTATTTTCAAAATTGATCTGTTGTTCTAAATTAATTAAGGATGTTTTTCCTTAGACACGAAAAGAAAGCACACATTATGATATATAATATATATCATATATATGGATGAATATGTTTCTTTATGACATTTCTACACGTACGTAATATATCATTACTTAGAAATGGTGGGGGCGTTATAATGTGACGATCAATCCCACTATTCGTTGGTAAAAGAGTAGCCCAAGATTTGGCGGTGGGTGGTGATGACTAGCTGCCTTCCCTCTAGTCTTACACTGCTAAATTAGGGACGGCTAGCGCAGATAGCCCTCGTGTAGGTTTGCGCGAAATTCAAAACAAACAAACAATACTTAGAAATGTAAACTATATTTAAAGCCTTTTATAATGAACATTTTAAACTCTTAATTTCATACAAGGATACAGATAATACAACAAAAATGAATGACTTCAGTTTCAACCAGCCAAACATTTGCAAAATGTTCACAAATGTGA